TGTAATTAAATATGTTGAAAAAAACATAGATAACTAATTTCTAAAAAAACTTTGTTAAAATTTTTATAAAAATAATAAATTTAATATATTTTATTTTATAAATCACAAATCGTAAACAATGATTCAATTTAATTTATAAAAATTATTAAAAATTACAAACTATAAAATATAATTTAATTTAAATTTAAACATCGAACCAAACCACATCACGAACACCCTAGGTATAGGCAAAGGACGGCCAAGTCAAAGTTTGAGTCCCTTTGCAAATTTTTATATCAATTTTATTTCAATAATATAATGCCAGTCGAAAAGAAACCCATCTTATTTGACCCCATAACTAGTTATCCATATAAAAGATTAACTGATGTGCAATGGGCATGGCAAAGAAAATGACACAAAATATAAAAGTTAACCTTCTTGCCAAAAAAAAAAAAAATGAAGAATTTAAGTTTTTACACTAGAAATGAAACACGAGAGTAGCTACTTTAAGATTTTAGCAAAGTGAACTTAAATGCTTTTTCTAACCATATTTTATTTCCATAGCAACATATTGTACTAATTCGAATTTATTTTGAGAATAATATAACACAAACAGAGAAGGGACCATCTTAAATGTTACGTAATTTAGAATACATGAATCCCACAATGAAAAACGCAATAAAAACTCCTTAAAATTTTTTTCCAATTCTACAGACACAGTTCTAAATACAGATGGGACTTCTTGAAGCATAAAACAGGTATACAGTTAAAGATGGCAAAGGAGTGCACATTTATATGGTGCCAGCAAATACAAAGAAACTCAAGTCTTAAATCCTCTCCTCTCTTGTTACACTTCTCACGCCTTTATACGCACCACAAATGAACCTGTTAATCAACCAATCAACCAACCATCAGCGTGTACCAGATGCCGTATAGATGAATAGATTGACAGATATAAAAACAAGTATCAATCAATTGATGACTAGTTATGCTCAAACCGAATGTATGGATGATATAACATTACAATATGACTTGCTGTACTTTGTTTTATAGAGGGAATTACTGGAAAGGATTGGATTTCCCAACCCCCTCCTTATTCTGCCACTGATCCCAGCTATTTCAAATATAAACATACTGTAAATCCCATCCTACTGAGTCCCACTTCATCCTATCCCGCAAAACCCACAACTTAATCCTACCACATGCAGTCATCCATACCCCATGCCAATAATCCATTCTTTTCTAATTGCACTACCCTCAAACATGGCGGGCTTCACAAATTTGAAAGTGGACATGGGATGCAGGTATTATTATTGTCATCACCATCTACCATAAGCATATCCTTCCAATTGGATATGCTAAATTAACTGTAGATAAGGGGGAAAATTCTATGTTTTTAAGTGAAGCTTTGCCAGGAACTGTTATATAAGAGTTGAACCAAAGAGTACTTGAATGTCAGCATCTGTAATATATAATGATCCAGACTCCAAAGCATGAAATGAAAAAAAAAAGAATTTTAAAAATTTTGCGAAGTTTGATACCATTGTACACCTTTACTTGTTGGAGGAGGGGAAATTACTAAGGAAACCCAGGTGGAATTGCCAGGGTTTCTTCTCGTGCTCCTGAAACAGTGCTCTCAGGTTACCATTTATGGCATGCAACAGTTGCAGACTAGTAAGAACTACTTTCTCTCATTCTTCTCTTGGTTACCGTCATGAGTATCCTTCCCAGCAGAACAGCTTCACATCTCATATTTTTCACCTCCAAAATACTTCTTATTTTTAAAACCCCAACCATGTCCTACATCATACAGCATAGACAGGAAGTTGATAGTAACTATTTATTTTTTATTTCTTATTTATTTTGTTAAATTATATTTTTTCCTGCTTCTGATCATAATATAATACCATCATAACTCCTTTCCTACAAAATGAATAAATTACTCCAAGCATGTTAAATACTTACACCTATGAAAAGAACCTACCAAGTGAGTTTTTGTGCATGTCAAATGTAAATAGACTAGCCACTGTTCGTTTCATATCTAACACTTTCTATCTTTTCTTATTCCTCATTTCCTTTTACTTTATTAATTTATTTATTTATTTTGGGAAGGGGGGTGATATGCGGGCACAGTACATGAAAAGGCTGCAGTTTAGCAAGTTGGCTTGAGCTGAAGCTCTGAGATGATACACGAAGGCTAAATTGACATTGGCCCTCCCAAAACAAGGTTGAGAGCTTGAGATCATGCCAAGTCATCAAAAAGCATAGACTTGGACAGTGGACACTGTTATGGTGAGGTACAAATTGGATACACAGTAAAACCAAACCTCAGAAGTGAAGGATACAAGTGGCAAGAACACTACTAGTACACTACAAACGTATACATATACACACAATTTGTGCAACAAATTATTGTTACAAACTTATAGGCACAGAGTTCATCATAAAGCAAATTAATGTATTTGATTTGACAACAACTGACGTAAGTTGTGAAACATATGACAGCATTCATAGTAGTTCCACTCCAAATCCAAACTCAGGCCAATAGCCCATGACCAAGTAGATATTTTGATTTACATTTAGGGCTTTTAGAGAAGATGTGGAACAAGATAGTGACCCGTGAAATCAGAATTAAACAACTATATTGAAAACTTGTCAAATCTCAACAACTTGGTCAGAAAAAACTGAGATAAAGACAGAAGGTTTTCCATCCCTCCATCTCCCTTCTCATCAAATGATCAAAAACCCAGAGGTATGTCTTCTCTTCCCCCCCATCGTCAGAAGCTTTTCTTAATATTTACACTTCAGAGTAAATTAGAAATGCTCTCACATTAATTTTTTTTGGGGGGCCAAAAAAATAAAACCTCAATAAAGAACTCAATAGTTAGAAAACATTCAATTTAAAAAACATCAGCAAACTTCTAAAAAGGTCGCTTTAACTTGGTGCAAGTATTAAGAATGGGTTCATGAAGTGAACAATGCAAATACTTGAAAAGAAAGAATCCCAAAATTGATAGAAAAGCACAAAAAAGAAAATATTCTTAAGAAATTCTATCAAATATAGTATACAGTGAACCTTAGTGTTCCATAATTGGTATCATTTTGACAAAATCTAATCAAATCAATGCAGAACTTCGAGTGGTTGTATAACCTAATAAAATGAGAAAGCAATATCAGAAGCCAGGAAAACTATGTATAATCAGCATTCTCATTGATCCTTCTATCACCTTAATGCAGCAAGCAACTTAAAATAAAAACAAAAATAAAAATAAACAATTGGGCAACCCTTAGACCAACAGTAAGTTTGCCCCTTTCTAGCTTGAATGTCATGAGCTTGAGACGGTGATGTATTTCACATGTCGAATATAAGCACTTGAACTGGTTTCTCCAGTTCCACAAGAATACAAATGCATCCCAAGATCTCAGATTTTTTATCTTCTAAATCACAAAGGGAACCAAAATCTCATGTCATTTGGTGGTTTAGTATTTTAGCTTCCTCAATTAGCTAGTGCAAATGTACTGAAAGAACAGCCTTCCCGTATGCACTACATTCATGCCCTTCCCAACAATTCCCAATGCCAAACTCCATCAACCTTGGCAAAACTCTTTTTGAAAGAGCTTTCATTTTAATAGTCACATCAAATATAAACCTAGGACATGTCAAGAACAAAACCCATCCCTGGAAAGCTCCTGTTTTGATCCATGTATTGAAAGTCTTATTCATAACCAGAACAATACATCAGTTGCTCTGCCCTTACACCACAAACTACTCCAAACCAATGACTACTAAGTCTCTACACTCAAACCTAACTTCAAAATTACAAGTGCTATTCATTAAACTATAAAATGTAACTGTGGAATGAAAGTTAAAATTCCTCATATACTGCTCCAAAACTCATGATTTTCAAAAGAATATAATAGAAAAGGCTAAGCTCCTGAAGGTCCAAAATGTATCTATGCAACACATCTCAAGTCCTCAACAAACGCTTTCTAGTATAAAGAAACTACTTATCTCCACCTGTGCTTTAAGTGAAGCTAAAATCAGTTAATCAAGAACCTTCAAGACTGTAGAGTAGTCTTATGAAGCTGAGATCCCTCAAATCCATAACTCCATCCGATCTCAGCAATCAAAACAACCAGTGATCAATAGAATTCTTAAGAAACCCAATGAAAAATATATATACAGAAGTTAAAATAAACCATATTCAAGCATAAGCCAGCAGAAACTACCCATCTCAACATTACATTAACATTGAACTAGGATTAAGAATATTTGTTTTTCTTTTACTTTTTCTTTTTTTACCCTCCTGAAAAGAAGTATTAAGAATGTTGATCAGGACATTTTTAGACCATTTGTAAACCAACATGTTCACACTTATAACAATATAACCATATCAAGAAGGAAGACTAAATAACAGAATGCTACCTCAATTTCATGCCTAGATTCCTTACTCAAAATTGGACTTCATGCTAAAGGTGCAGCAATCCTGAATTTTTCTGAGTCAATAAACCTTTCTATTTATAATCTAACTAAAGAATATGCAATAGAAAACATCAACTTTAATTTATTGTTGATTTGCATTACTTTCCAATAAAAAAAATTCCTTCTCTTTCAATCATATTTTTCCTCCCGTGATGATGCTAATTTCATATAAAAATAATAAAGCATACTTTCTAAAAGGCTGCAAACACCTGACCCAAGGGTTTTAAGTAGGGCAAAGAACTGCTAAATTCTATTAAGAAAGGGTGATCAGAATTGAATATCTGATCAACTGATCCGTGGATGCTGTATCCATTCCCCAAATAACCCTTGCTCTGTTCAAATATATTTGCTGTAATCTGGCGAAAAAAGGAAATATGCCAGGCAGAAAAACTCCTAAAATGCCTGACCAAATTAAATTCAAAATGCTTTGTCTCTTCACTTATGAAGTAAATCCTGAAGCACTTTAAAAATAAATAAATAAAAAGTAACTCACATGCAGGAAGGTTTGATATATCTGCAGAAACCGCACAAGGAATTCCTAAGTTTGAAAGTGCTCCCTTATGATTCCACATGGAAAGTAGAGATACATGCCAGTTGCTTGTGCTGCTCTATTTTCAGCCATAGCAACCGGGTCTTGCACTGAACTAGAGTTATCAGACAGTGGATCAACTGTCATCCGTGAAAGCCAACGAAATTTATTATCTTGCAATACAAAGGTACCCTACAGAGCAAACAATGTCCAGTAAGCCATCTTCAGGTAATTGCTTTTAATTCTTCTTCAACTTGGGAAATCAAACTTACTCTATGATTTGTCTTCAAATTGTCTATCTGCTTCTTGAACAACTCCGACCAGAAGTCCTTACAGATGAACTTGATTGCCTCTAGATGATCAGTGAAGCGTGGCCTTTCCATTGTGTACCTGAAAGGAACAGGTTTCCTACTCATACATCTCAATCTAGAATAATAAATAGCGATCAGTTAAGCATCAACACTTATGACATATAATTGAAAGTTATTTTGGTTGCATGGATTTCATTTACTCCTGAAATTCACCTGGCAACTGAATGAAAAAATTTAAATTAGACAACATTCATATTCTAAATATGAATCTCTTGAAACAAATCAAACTACTAGGGAGGACATTGTCAGATCCAAAGTCACAAACTATTTCAAAAACCCAAACCATTTTCACACTGCTAATGCAAAATGCAATATCAAGAAAGAATCAGAAATTTGGGACTTTGTTTATAGGGTTTATAGTCAGACAAAAATACATGCTACCACGGTTTAGAGTCCTTTTGTATAATTGAATGGAAGAAAGTTTCGAAACCATAAACCTTAATCCAGAATAACTAATAGCCACCAAATAAGCACCACCACAGTAAGATACATGATTGAAAGTTAACTGGGAAGCAAAAAGAAGTCCATTTGCTAACGAAATTCTATTGCCATCATATACAAATTAGAACTAAGCCAATAGAAAATTCTAAAAGCGCGTTTGGTCCACTGACTTTTGGACTTACAGGTTAAGTTTTGAAGCTAAAAAAATCTCAAGCCACTATTTCACAGCTTTTGGGCATTCCGGGCCAAATACTCCAAAATAATAATCACAGGAAGCAAATCAAATTAGTTGGGAAGACATCGACAGATACAAAGACGCAAAAGATCCAACCCATTTTCAAACTACTAATGAACAATGTGCTTGTGAGAAAGACTCAGAATTTAGTGGATGGGAATTTGACAGAAGAGGACTTATAGTCATACATAAATACATGCGAGTGAGCGTGTATTCGCAGATCAATCACACCTTTCGGCGAATAAGGTTTGCAAAACCTAAGCCATTCTCAAACTACCAATGCAAAATGCAATGCCAAGATATCAAAAATTAAGGAATTTGAATTCCAGAATTCATTTAAGAGAGTTTATAGTTATATTGGAATAGATGTAATGTAAGGGTGGAAAATCGCAGTTAAATTCAGACCTTTCAGCGAGCTGGTGGCCGACCTGATAACCGATCGCCTCGATTCTTCGGGCGGCTAGCTCAGGCTTGTTGGCGTAGAACCGATTGCAATATGACGAGACGATCTCCGTCAGCAGACTCTCTACGCAGCTCTCAGATACCTCCTTTCCCATTTTCCCTATCGACGAAATGGCTGTGAAGCTCCAGAGGTGCTCTGCGATTGAGCTCCAGTCTTCACGGGGATTTAGAGCGTGCCGGTTTTGGCAAAATACTACTTTTTAAAACTTCCTTTTAGTTTTTTTTTCAATAAATCAGATTATAATTTTCTTTTACACCACACGTTCACAGATCTAACCACAGCGGAGACTATAGTTTTTCATGATTTTAAAAAATCGAATCAAAACTGTATCCAATCAAAATTTACTGTATTGAAAGTTAAATTTTTTATTAAATATTATATATTTTATTATTAAAAAATAATATATTAAATATTTTAATATAGTCTAAATTTTATAAATAAAAAATTTTTAAAAAAAACAGTGTTGAACAAAATATTATATATAATAATTTATAAAATTATTTATATTATATATAAAATATGTAAATTTATAAAGATTAAGAATAATTTAATAATAAATTAAGCCTTGTATCTTTCTCATTAATTCTCTTTTTCCAATTTAAATCTCAATCATTTCTTCTCTATTTTTTTCAATTATCTCAACCATCTCTTTTTGCTATAATTTAAGTCTTCACACATATATTATTTCATATTATCTCTCTATTTACAAATTAAGTCCTATTCACTTTATCGATTTTTTTTTTACTTATATCACCCGTCTCTCTTGCAATTACATTATGTTTTCACATTTCTCTCTCTCATATCTTATTTACAAGTTTAACAATTACCTGTTTACTCTATCTTTTTTGCTTTTATTTTCAAATCTTTCTTTTACTAAATTTTCCATTATTCTATCTTATCCACAAGTTTGAAAACTAACTTTTTAACTTTAATTATTTACCGAACAAAACTCTTAAAACACACAATTAAAAAGATGGAGACTTATATGAATATGATGTGTAAATATAAGAGATTAAAGTGTAAAACGAGAAAATATATATATAAAATTTTGTTTGGAACACTGAGGGCCTGTTTGGTTTGTGAAAATGTTCTCCTTTTTCCTTTTCTATTTCTATTTTTTGAAAAGTAGTTTTCATTTAAAAATTTTCAAAATTATAAAACATGTTTTGTAAGATTTGTCACTTTCTATTTTTCAGAAAAGAAAATGAAGAAAATATGTTTGGTTAATACATTTTCAATAAATTGAAAATGGGAACTCAATTGAAAAAAATCAAAATTTTAGGGTTTTTTATAGGGATTTAGATGAATAAATCAAAACTTCTAAAATTAGAATTGACATTCGAAAAGTTGACGGACTAGACTAAAGGAAGAGACAAAGATCAGGGACTGAAAAACAATTTCACAAAATTGCAAAAGGGACACGTCCCCTTCTTCCAGCGAGTCGCGACGATCGTGACCTGACTTCAATCTTCAGTTTTTCAAGAAATTTTCAGTTAGATTTCATATATTTTACCCCGAAGAACAAAAACTCTAAACCAATTCAGACAAATGACGTGCCAGACGGTGAGATTTCAGAAATTCAAATAAGAAAAAATAAAATTTTTTTTTGATTGCTAGTCAATATTTCTCAAATTTCAATCAATGTTTATTGGTTGCCAGTTGATGGAGCTCGACGAAGATTGACGTCAATTCTGAATAGAGCTCGACGTCGACTCTGCGAACAGAGCACAACAAATGAGCCTTTTATAGCCTCTCGCCTCCACGCTTGGCACTTTGACGAACGAACTATTTCACAATCTCTTCCCTCCGCGATCGACAGTCTGGCGAACAATCCCTCTCCTTCTTGTTTGAATGCTACAGTAACAGGCAAATAAGGGATACAACAACAACACTGAAAATGATTATATTTACTTATTTGCCACCGTGTTTCCAATCCGAACAGAAAAGGCTGGAAACAACTTTTTGTTGTTTCCTATTTCTGGCTAAACTTAAGAAACATTTCCAGAAAATGAAAACGAAAAACAGTTAACCAAACATGTTTTCAGCACCATTTTTCTGTTTTCCATGAAAATGAAAACAGAAAAGGGCTGAACCAAACAGGCCCTAACCTTCTCCTCTCTCATACACAACTCTCGCAATCTCCTTTTCTCTCATTGTTGTTATCTCGCCTCACCTGCCTCGCCTCTTTTCTCAACTATATTCCCTTAATTTTTATTAATCGTAATTATGATTTATGGTCAACACAAGTTGAAATGTGACAAAATAAAGTGAACGAATAACTCAATCTATTTTTTTCTCAAATTTTTTATTGCTTTTTAAGTCTTTATTAGTTTTGAAATAATAGATATGATATTATTATATTTGATTAATTTATATTATACATCTTTTTATTTATTTTATAAATATCTCATTTTTGTCCATCTATTTATTTACAAACTTTAAATCATTTCCTTAAATTTATTTACTTATTTGTTGAGAAGTGTTTATACTCATTATTTCATATTATTTTATTTGATGGGTTAAATTTAAAAATAACAAGATATTTAAAAATTGACCCGAATCGTACTGTATCATACTTGAAACTGAATGAATTTGTATTGAGATCAAAAAGTATAGTTTGGGTTTTAATTTTAAAAAATTGAATAAATTGGTACAGTATAAATTTTGTCAAAAAACTGTAAAAAATTGAATCGTAAACACCCATGGCAGGAACCAACAACTCTGGTTAATGGAAAGTATTTAAAAAAAGTGAAATTAAATAACATAGGTTTTTATTTTTTAATTATATAAGATAATGAAAACAAAATAAAAAATTTTAAAAATTTAATTTAATTTTAAATTTAACTTTTTTAGTGAGTTAATTTTTTTTTAACTCACCTCCAACTTTAGTGTCATGCGCGACATATAAATTAGATAAACAAATAAAAATTAGTGAAGTTAATTTCCTTTAAATATAAAAATAATCCCATTAATTCTAATATTGAGACAAACTCCATGTGGTGAAAAAAAAGAGGAATTATGTTTTTAGTTATAATTATTATAAAGAATAATAATATTATGTTTTTAGTTATAATTTGTCAAAGGAAAGACCCACGTGTAAACAAGTATATTTTGTGATATTTTATGTTTTTTAATATCTAAATAAAATAAAAAAATTCACATTTTCATGATTAATTCCAGCTTTAAATTTTAACTTTTTTCTTGTAATTTTTTTTTTTATATTCAGATAATAAATTCACCCATTGTCACGTTTCAAGACTCACTCTTCCTCTCGAGTAGTTTTTTTCCCAAAAAAACAAAAAGAAAAGGGAGGGGCGAACGCTACTTCACAAGAACCCTAGGATTGCGAAAGCGTCTGGTTGTCTCACACGCCGGGCTTCCTCTTTCCTCAAACGAAATCTGACCGTCGATTCCCCCCTTTCCCTCCGGTGAATTAACTGGTCTTTTAGTACTGTCAATTGGCTCCGTGGATCAAAAAAGGCATTGGAGGATCGGTCGTTCGTTCATTTTCCGTACTAGTTTTTATTTTTAATGATTTCCATTTGATTACAGCGTCAAGCCACTCCAAATTTGGACGGTAATTGATCTAAATCTTACTATTCTCGATGTTTGTCTTAATTTTTTGATTCTCATTGTTACCTACTTTTCTTATTTCAATTTTGTTCTTTTGTTTTTCTATCGTTTGTCTGGATGGTGCGCAAACTGTCGATAGCAAAAGACAGCTAAAACATTAAAAACATATATATATATTTTTTGAAATCCAACCAAGTTTTAACATCAACTGCAGGCGAATAGTATTCATAATTTTGTTTTACTGTCGTGCCTAAACGTTGTACGTCGATAATTCTTGTTGTCCGAGTTGTAGATCAGTGAGGCAAAATATGTTTGGTCTGGAGGCTTTTGATGTTAAACTTGGTGTGGGGAATGTAGGTGAATGAAATAATCTAGCTGCAAGTAACCAGATTTGTACAGAAAGCAGAGTTCGTCTGAACAATTTGCTGTTTATTTTGTGGAAGATGGATGGCATAAATGGGAGTCAAGGCCGAATGCAAATGAATGATGCGCAGCAGACAATCCACCATCATGCACATTACATGCAGGAACATGATCACCATATGTTGCACCACATGAGTAATGAGAATGGGATGGAGCATGATGATAACATTGGAAATGGTGGGGGCAGTGAAAGTCTGGAAGGCGAAGTTGCTCCTGATCCCGGGAATATGTCTGATAATCAAACTGCATTGGTGGCTCGCGCAAACTGCGAGAATAATAACAGCTCACTCTCTCTTTCCAGGGTCAGGTTTACGTGTTTGACTCCGTCTCACCTGAAAAGGTTATTTCATTCCTTAATGCTTTAATTTACTGCTCATTCTTCTCTGTCCATCACCCCTCTTTGGTCGCAGTTTACGAGCTTAGGATAGCATGTATACTTGAACGCAGAACTACATGAACTATGTGATTATGCCGCAATTTTGCATGTTAATGGCTGAAGCGTTTTTCTCGTTATGGAAGATAATCAATTGGTAGACATCAGTTTCTTTCATGCAGCAGATGAATATGTTGTAGAATATTTCTGTTGTAATGGATTATGACGTTTGTCATTAGTATGAAATTATCCATAAAGGATTTAGAAATGAGAGTCAATATTTATCAGTGCATATCAATTTGGAAAATTTATACAGTAATATCTGTATGAAACTTTTGCATGTGTTGGTAGTAAATGTCTTTTTTCTTTTGTTGTGTTATGACTTTCTTGACACTCAAATAAGTCATAATGGAGAAGCCTTATGTGTTGCTCTTTTAGCACATGCTTATCTTCTTGTAAGAATATGACGTAACATGCTTCTGTCATGATTAAGAAGGTCAATGATGTCCCTGGGGCTTTGCTTTCTTGGTGCCCTACAAAGAGAATGGTTGTCACTTGTTCTTAATGATGATTCAGGTTCAAGCTGTACTTCTACTGTTGGGAGGCCAGGAAGTGCCACCAACCATGCCTATGATCCCAATAAGCAATAACCAAAATGCCAAGGTATATTCAAACATTCACCTTGTTAGCTTTGATTTACATCATGCATATCATTTCTAGAGTTCTATCTAATACAGCATTCAACCAGGGATTGTCTAGTACTCCACAGCGTTTTAGTGTCCCTCAGAGGTTGGCCTCATTGATTAGATTCCGTGAAAAGCGAAAAGAGAGAAACTTTGACAAGAAAATCCGTTATGCTGTGCGTAAGGAGGTTGCACTTAGGTATGGTGTTTTTTCTTCTCACTTTTAGGTATTAGTCCACTGGCAGAATGTTTAGTTTTTTCCCCCCTTATCCTCACCTTAGTGTCTACAGTGTTAGAGCTTTTGATTTATGGCTCCACAGAAACTTTAGATCCCTGTTAGCTGCCAAGGTAGTTGTCTCTAAATATTGCAACTTGCAATTACAAAAGATTGGATAATATGGAAGGCTATCAGGCCTATTGAATTCTGTTTTGATCCTTAGGTTTATGGATCTATAAATTCAATTTTGTCCTTCCTTTGTCATATTACCTCTTACTCAAATGCTAGACTTTATATTGTTAATCCAATAACTAGACACTTAAGTGAAATGTTGTTGATCGAATAAGTTGGAATGACTAGACAAAAGTATGACTTGATACTCAAGGGAAATATTGATGATCAAATAAGGTGGAATATCTAGACAAACTTTTGTGCACGGAAGACTTCAAGTTGCATTTTTCTTGTTATCCATTGCTTGATTGTGTCTATTTCTTATCATGAAGGGGCTTTAACTTTTGAGGATACTGGTGTTTGATGCTTCTTTTATTAAACATAACTATTGGTGATCCTGGATCGAACAGTATAGATTTAAATGATCTCTTGTGCATATGGATTTTAAGCACAAATTCATAAATAAGTGACCTACTCATTAAAGATTTCTTAGCAGTTAGTCGTGATCCCGATCGAATTGAATACGAGCCGCAGTGCCTGACTTTTTAAATTAGATTTATTTATTTGTTTACTTCTTTAATCTGGAGGGCTTTAACTGGCTGGTTTGTCATTAATTGAATTCAAGGGTCCATTGTGAAACCAAGTTTTAGCTGTTGGGGAACAGCTGTCACATGGCAGCCCGTATGATATTATTACTCAATCACATTTTTATGTTTGTATTTCCTTTGGTCTTGGAGGTTTAAGTAAATTTGCCATTTATTTTTACGTTGGTTGGATTAGTTATACAATGTTGAAATATTTACAACCACTAATAGCCTTTTGTGCTTATTCTCAACAAATTCTGTGGCTTTTATAGGATGCAAAGGAATAAAGGTCAATTTACATCTTCAAAACCGAACAGCGATGATCCAGTATCAGCATCAATAACTTGGGATTCAACCCAGAGCTGGGCGTTGGATGGTAGTGGGACCCAGCAACAAGAGATTGTGTGAGTTTATAATTAGGTTGACATTAATGTTGTGGCAGCTGATAGTTACCTTGAGTTTCTTTGTTTTTTCTTTCATTTCTAGTGGTTAATTTTTCCTTTTACTCTGTTTTTCTTTTTCTTTCCCTTTTGGCATCCAAAAACTCTAAAATCTTTTAAGTATTATTCTGTATTTTTATTTGCAGTTTATGTTTTCTAGAATTGGTATTCGCAGAGAATATCCACTTGGAGGTCGTTTCTTATCGAATTATTTAGATGAATTTTTTTGTTCATAACCTTTCCCCTGTTCTAATCTTCATTCAAACTGGCTAAGGTGTTCTTACTAACTCAAACTAAGCCACTTAGCAATTTTGTACAGTGATGCAACATTTACAGTTTCCATTAACCAATATATCTGTTTGCCAGCAGTGGAGAGCCAACAAGAATGGGCAGTTTCACAAAGGGGGCGTTCGGTAGCCTGATATAGGCTGAGAAGATAAATTTTATCTGCCGTTACACGTGTTCGGTTCGCGTGTAATGGATCCGGATACTGATATATATCAGTATACTCCAGATATGGTATCAACGGCTGCGGGTGGGATAAATTTTATCCCACCCTTATCAGCGTATGAAATGTCAAGCTTAGCCTCAGCGTGTGTCCCGATCTCCCGATTGCATTTGTCCTTCACCCACGAGCGCAGGGAGGCGAAGCGGCCATTTGGATTGGGTCCTGCCGAGCTCCATTGTCCTTCACTCACAAGCGCAAAGAGGCGAAGAGGCTGTTTGGATTTGGTTCGGCCGTTCATCGGCCTGGTTTGCACCCACTGCCGGTATCGCCAGGCTGGGTCGAGCTCAGCAATCGGTGATTTTTGTCGCGGCTGATCAGCAGATCTTCTCTTCGTCGTTCATGGCGTGGATTGCTTGGATTGCTTCTCGGCCCGAACCCAAATCCGATCCATTATGTGGCCCGAACTCCTCTCTGCCCCGAACCCCATCCATTCTGTGGATTGCTTCTCGATTTGCTTGGGTCGGCCAGATGGGCCGACCCAGGCCGGCATGTCAAAGGGAGGTGGGGGCCGACGGGAGGTCGTTGTGAAAGGGATGAGAGACGGAGTCTGACCTTTTTTTTTTAAAAAAAAAAAAAAATTTAAAAGCCATGAGGGCTTTGCGGCGAAGGCAGGAAATGAGATCTGACTAATGTCGTGTGTGTGTGTGTGTTTTTTTTTTTTTATTTTTATTTTAAGGACTTTTTGGTAAATTCATAATTTTATCCCATTTGTTTTCTATTTAACCGAACGTGTGATACCACTGTGTAATCCGGATAAATTTATCTACTCTTATCTTATCCTACTATATCCTATCCTCCCATCCAAACGGCCCAAAGTTGACATTTCCATATCTACATTGGACACATCTCATTGAACAATACATTATGTTTGACACATGCACACACCAATACTTTTTGACACCAAATGCATCCCATTATTTGTTCATTTTCCTTTAAGAATACAACACATTTTGGACCCCAGACATGCATGTTCATCAATTAGATATAAATGGAAATAAAGTTGGGAGCCAATGATTAATATCTGAGCTATGTAGGTTTATTGTTATTAGGCCCCTCTAATTTAGATTTTTGAATTTAGGATTTCTAAAATAGCTGAAATTTATTTGTGAACACCATCTCTTGTATTGAAATTTTCGGAATTTGCTCTTTCAATGTCTCAATTTCACATTTGAAGCTGCATTCTTTCCATATCAAATGAGAGCTTTTCTTGGAAAGAAATTGGAATTCTATACAAGCTTGGCTTTTGCTGATTATGCCTGTGCTGCAACTTTTCTTATGGTGTCAAGATTAGTCTGCCAAAAGTTATTCTAATATTACTTTCTTGAAACCTTTTGGCAGCTGTCGACATTGTGGTACCAGTGAGAAATCTACGCCAATGATGCGTCGAGGACCAGAAGGACCTAGGACCCTTTGCAATGCATGTGGACTGATGTGGGCAAATAAGGTCAATATGGATACTTGTTTTACCTCCCACTTGGTTCTACCTTCTATCTTTTTTCTTTGTTATATCAGCAATTGCACCTAATGTTGATGACTGCTTTTACAAAAAGCGTCATTATTATTATTATTATTAAACATTTTCTTGTAGTGATTGGAGCTCTTGTTTTGGGAGATCATTTCATTGCATGCATAAAAAAGTTGTTGGACTCAAGTAGAATATTACATGTGGCATGTCTATAATGTTAACTTTTTGATCTGGAACATTGTTATTTTTGCACACTTCCAATCCTTTTCTGCATAAATATATTCTGCCCAAAATGTGATCTCTCCTTTAAAGAGGAAAAACATTTGTTTTGATCCACTTGTGTTGAGACATCATGGTTACTTGTTCCTGATCACAATTTACCTGTCCTTTTATTTGCGCTCTGCATATTTGTTCACTTGATTGAATGCCTGTCAAAAGTTGTCTGATTTTGAAGGAATTCTTCAATCTGGATTTGCTCCTTATGACAACCTTATGTTTTCATAGTCTTTTTCCCTAATGTCTGCTAATTTAGGGAACTCTGAGGGACCTCTCAAGAGCAGCCTCCCAATCAGGACAGAATCCTTCCTTGACCCAAAATGAGGTGGGAAGTCTTTGACTTGTAATCATTGGATGTTTTGGAATTTATTGATAATAATAAATGATCTTGGTATGATTTTTTATTCCCTTTCCTTCTGTGTCTGTTATATAGAATGGAAATTTTGAGGCAGATCAGATTGTGCACGGGAGTGATTCATCATGATTTCCTTTAGGGGAGGATTTCAGAGATTGATGGTAGTTTCATGTATTGGGCCGTCTCATTGACACGTGGGTAAATTGTTTGGGCTCGTTCACTCCACAATGACCTAAAATGCTCAGTAATACTAGTGTGAGATCGCTGGCATGGAAGTAATTTTGGTGTTGGCATCTTTGCCCTTGTGGAATAGCAAGTTCTTCTATCTGTTTTCATTTACTTGGAACAGAAAAGCAACTTCTTGTAAACTAGCTTGGTTAAAGGTTATTTATGTCATGGTGGGAAGAGATAGCTGCTAGAAATAGATTGTCTGAGTAATTGCTGTAGGATTTACTGCAATAATTATTCCCTTCAGACTTTTCATGGTTATGTAATGAAATTCTTCATTAGCACTTTTTCGTGTAAACTGGTGGACACTTTTCTATCCATGATAAAGGCAATCCGTATGAAAATGCAATGGGTATGAATGTTTGCGTGTTTTGATGAAGGGACTTGAAGGAAAGTGGGAAGGTTTTGGCAAATGCGTTTAGAATGATTATGTTTCTTTGTTTTGTTTGTCTTATTTATATGTCTATTCAATGATTGAAAAAAGCTTATAGGTAAAACATCCCTCGAGAGCGTTGCTTGTTACTTAATTTACAATGATTCGTGAGTTTTGCATTTGGTACCAGTTGACGTTGGATGGATCTTCACCCTTTAACAAATTCAAATCATGTAGATTTTTAATTATTGGCGACAAATTGCAGTTAACATTTTCTTTTCTCTGAAGATAATTGCAATTTACATTTATTTTTTATTTGCGTGAAGGGTAATTCACTCCGTAGTCCCAACCACGAGACAAAGTCCTAGGAAAGGACATTACTCCGTCGCAAGCGCAGAGTTACGGCAAATTTTAGGCTAGACGACGAATCAGAAAGACTTCGAAAAAAAAAAGGAAAAGAAAAATATCTTGCAAAACGAGAATTACAGCACAGTAAATTTTCATGGAAATTATGTCCAGCCTTGACGGCCTTTTCTCAAATTATGGTTTGCGATGCATCCCCGTATTTCCTCTCCTTATTTTTTTATTTTTTTTATTTTCAATTCTGGGTACTGCTCACTGGAGCTACTCGGCTGCGGCCTGAAATTTTGCCGTTTGGGTTTAATTGGGCAAATATTTCCTTACAGCTCACCAAATGGGCTGGACACAGATGAATTTCCATCCAAATCAAAAACAAAAAGATGACAATTAGGATTTGGACTAATTTCACCGTGAGACGTATCGGAAGACTTTGACTCAAGCTACCAATGTCCGCTGAATATTTACGTTCCCATTGTTCGGAAGGAAAAAAAAGAAATAGAAAAATGAAAATGTCAAACTAAACAGTGGTGGTGAACACTCCGGTACCAAGTCCAAAAAACTTGTTTTGAAACCATCTCCACGTGAACTAATTATTATTGACCACGTGGATTACTTCAGGCCACTTGAACAAATGGTTATTGGCCACGTGGATTATTTTGGGAGTAAAATATAAATACTTCGAGGACCAAAGTGCAAATCTGCACTGTTATCGACCAAATCATCTTCCTCCTTGCCGACCGCTGGTCGCCACAATCGCAGCCTGCACACCTGCCATTCGCCTTCGCCGTTCGCAGACTGCCGTTCACTCGTTAGTCGTTTGGGTTGCAAGCAGAGCCACTTCGCCATTCTTCCAAGCCACGTTTGCGTTTGCAGCCTAGATCCGTTCTATTTAGGCAATCTTGTGCAAACCTGTTCACACACTTGCACTGTCCGATCCTCCATCACCACCAGATCCGTTCAAAACCCGTCCTAAACTCATCTCTCGCTAAACTCTTGTCGGACTCTGCGTCTTCTCTTTCCTCCCTAATCGTGAACAATACCCATGACGGGCGCACATCTCCTATAGCTTCAACATGTCGATCACCTCCATCACCGAGTCTCTGGCACCAGGCCGTCTTGCTGACTTGCCGAGACGGCACCTCCGCCTCTGTCGGGCTCTACTCGAGTCTATTGCTTCCAAGCAGAGGAAGTAGAGGAGCTCCTTGAGGGAGCGGAGGCTGGAAGGTGATCGACGCCCCTAACCCGATCGCTTGAGTTGACGAAGTGCAAGCAGTGCGGTAGTGAACGGAGTGCTGCGGCAAATGGCGTGCGGTGACGAGGGTTTCAGAGGAGGAAGATGACAAAAGCAGTATCTGCACTTTGGTCTTTCAAAATATTTATACTTTAGTTTAGTTCTTCAAAAATATTTATAATTTGATTCCTGAAGTAATGTATGTGGCCAATAATAATTAGTCCGTGACCAATAATAATTGGTCCACACAAAAAAGATTTGTAACCATTATTTTTTGGGTAGGTACCGAAGTCAAGGCCAACAGCGATTCGTCCAACTATCTCCTTAGTGATGAACGTGCGGGCTGTCGTTTGTTCAGCCACTTCACTTGCACGGCTGAACCAGTATTCTTTTACCACGTAGGCAAGGTAAAAAATATATAAAAAAGAGAGGCAGGGTAGCTAATATAAAAGTTGATTTTTCAAACAACGCCGAAAATTCTCCCCCGATTTTTCTGTTTGGAATTTCCTTTTTCTTTTTTTTTTTTTTTGTTGGAATTCGGTGAATTGGTAAGTCCGTCCCGCCGGTACGTTCTTCGCCCACTAAAATCTCGTCTTCGATGAGTCTTCTTTTTCCGTTTCTCTCTGTACTTCGAACTTCACCTCCAGCGTCTCCGCTCTCCCGAATCTAGAGAGAGACAGAGAGAGAGAGGGATCGCTGACGCCTTGCCTCTTCATTTTCTCCGATCGAGCTATATTTGTTCTTGATTACCTTGAATCGTGGAATTGATTTGTTATGCCAAGCTCAGCTCTGACATTTCTTCCTTCTCAACTTAAAGCAGCAACACTTGTAGGTTAGGGCACTGTTATCTGATATATTGCACGCACGTCATCTTTCTCTTCTTCCTTATTCCTATAAATAATGGCGAGGAGTAGATCATCATCGAGCAGATGGAGATACATAAACCCAGCCTATTATTTGAGGCGGCAAAAACGCCTCGCCTTAGTATTCATCATCTTTGTGGCCCACGCTTTTCGTTTGGGATCGGCACACCCTTGTTAGGAGCACGAGGTATCCCCGTTAAAATTGAGTTTATGCTTTTCCAACAGCCATGCCATTAGATCTGCTGCTATTCCGGAACTCTGTTACTGCTAATGTTATTCTCTTGAATCTGCTCATGTTTTGTGTGATCTAGAATCCTAAGCACTCACAAATTTTGAAATGTATACTCTTGTCGCTTTATCAACCTTTTGTATGTGTTTAACTACGCTGCCAAATCACTCCATGCTGGCCCTTGAAACTGCGCGTTCAAAGAGGTAGGTTACTGTATGCGTTGTGAATTTAGGCTCTGTCTCTCGCATATGTATCAGTACAGTTGATGACAATCACATGCCGGAATAATTAAGGCTACCGTCTGGACCAGAACGTTGTCGATCCTTTCTTAGAAAATGCACGACTGGTCCCTCTCCCGTGCCTCTGTCACATTTCACAACCTTCTGCCATGCCTCGAATGATAAATTCCTTGCCACAACGTATTGGGTTTTTCTAGACTTTCATATATTTTCTTTGACGAATTAGAAAAAGATGATAGCTAAGCTTGCTCATTTGCTATGAACCTATGATAGCATTGCAATGTTAACTATCTTTTTATTCATATGTTTTGTATGAATATGTCTTCTTCTTGGAGGAGAATATTTATTTGCACTGTCTGGTGAACTCTGTTTTCATTTGCAGGAAGAAGTATCTAAGTGAATGAAGAAGTGATTCACTTGCAAAAATTTGGTAAGAGATGTGAATTGGTTATTTCTTGTCATTACCCATGCTACGTGTACTTTCTATCTTGACCAGTTTTCCATCTCTTTTCCTGGTTAATTCTGCATTGTGCACTTGAAAGAACATTAATGTGTAAAGAATATGGTAATTTTATCATTTCTAAAATAATTTCTTAGTATGTTTACCGTGCCTATCTCCTATTATCTTGGGATCTATGATCTATCCTTGTAAACTTGTCTTACATGCATAATTATATACTTGTTTATGCAACAAAAATTGGAGCCTGGTTCTTCCCAATCATGTCTTTAGTCAATTAATTATTGCATTCTCTGGTTATGCCCTTGATTTAATGTTCCTTGTTTCTACTCACACGTGTTCAAGTTTCTTGGAGTAACTTTGAGATTGATACACATTGCCTTATTCATTTCAGTGTGATTTAGGCTTTCTTGGCTACATTGTTCATACAAATAATTTTAAGTTTTTGTCAAAGTTCACATCAACCTTCTTAACTGACTAATATCTTATTTATTATCACCTTATTTTCATATAATAATATGTTATTGTGATTTATATTTTTTGTTCACAAATAAAAGCACATGTTTGAACTGAATATTTAATTGGTATTTGCAGCTGGAACAGTTAAAGAATGACAATGGAGTTTCAGGAGGAAAGATGAAACCTAGTGGAAAAAGTAGTGATGACACCAAGAGGAAAGATACTCCTGATGACCCTGTCAGCATTCGGCGTAGAGAAAGAGTGAAAGAAGCTATGCTTCATGCATGGAGTTCATATGAAAAATATGCATGGGGTCATGATGAACTTCAGGTATGTTGTGTACTAGACTAATTATATTTTATTCATTAATTTGCTATTTTGTTCGTAGTAGTGAACATTTTTTATTTCTTTTCCTTTTTTGGTGAGAATGGGAAGGGGGGGGGGGGAGGGGTGGAAGGGTAAAGTTGACTCCAGGCTTTTGTTTATTTGTTATGTGATTTAATTCATGGAAATTTTGTTTATTGATTATTTCTTTATTCGTTTTTACAATTGGCTTACTAGATTGATGTTACAGAGTTGCATTCTGGGTCAAATGCTGGTGTAATTTTTATTAATGCATATAATTTAATATTTAACAACCATTTTAGACAGGGACGTAGAAAAGTGTAAAATCTATGAAATTTATTCAAGTAGCCTGACAACTGTTAACTTTTGGTGATAAATACTGGATATCAATAGTCCTTTTGGAAAAACTTGAAAAGATGCAGGTGCTGGAGTTCCTTGATATCTGTATAAAATTTACAAAAGAGCAATAGAATCCACTATTGATAAAATTTACAAATTTGCGGTTGTGTTTTGTAGGTAGTTATCTAGTTTCCAAGTGTATTTTCAAACTATTAGCCGCAATATTTATGGCTACTTAAATTATAGTTTGTGTCTCTAAGTGTATCACTAGGAAATGGAAAAAGTTTTGGTAATGGCAGTGGAAGAAAATGGCCTTAAATCCTTAACTGCATGCAATTATGAAGAAAGAAAAATGAGGGAAATATGTATCCAACATAAAAATACGGCCTCATAGTAGAATTGGCTAGATTCTTCTTTGTTTTTTGGACACATTCTTGTTTTTGGCTTTTGTGGGTCTTGGCTGTTGGGACAAAGTTCTAGGCCATATGTCTTGGGGAATGGACCCCTTAAGACAAGTTTGATTAATGTAATTCTAGGTTTGGAGACTTGCACTCTCAATGTTAAGGCTAGGTAATGTTGATAACAATATAGACATTGGCTAGATTATCAATCATTTTCTCCTTGGTTGATAGGCAAAATACTCCGAACAGAAATGTAGAGGTCTTCCTAGGGACTTGCAACTATTTTCGTTTAAGAGATTTGTATTCTGCATGCCAAGGCCGGGACTATATTTGACAAAGCATGTTGGCCTTGGCTTGATTTTGAAAGCCTTATGCTCCATATTTGGTGGACACATTCAGAGCTTTTCTTGTCGTGTTTGCATTGTCCAAGTGAATTCAAGGATCATAAGTTTTCACTTTGACTATTTTCAACCTTTATATACCTATTGTGATGTTAATGGAGTAACCAGGTTACCTGGATTGGGTTACTTGTCCATAGGCACAAGGATATGACATATGATTCATTATTTTTACATGCCTATTACATTATTGTTGAATAAAATGTGTTCATTAAATATTATATTGCATTGGATGATAAATAAGAGTTGCAAGTTTAGTCTATTGTAAACTTGCAAGGACAGGGCTAATTATTATTATACTTATTGCATTATTTTGGAGAAAAACATGTTTATAAAAGCTGTAGAGTGGAGAAACTAGGTACTTTTTACATTTAGAAGAATCCGTGGAACTTGCTCAATTAATTACCATTTTATTTGATAAAAGTTTTGTCACCTTGATGATCAATTATTTAGTAGCCAAGCATTCTTATAATTGCCATAGATTTGCATGATTCTTAGACAGTAAGATTGATCTTATTTGCCTGAGAAAAGACTTTAGATTTTTGAGAATTATTCTATTTAATTCTTCTTCTGTCGATGAAGTAAGCAAAGTTTGACTGATATACATCCAAGGTTTGAGCTTACAATGCATTCCTCTTATGGAAAATATTCTGTTTTTGATTTCTTTATCTAATATTTAAGTATGACTGGATATAGAAGATTTTTTTAAAAAAAACTTTGGGGGGTTATGGCAAATGTTTATGTCTTGTTAGTTTGTTCAAGTTTTAGGTCCAAAGTTACATTACTTACTTTTTGCAATAAATTCATAGGTAGGGGAAATTCTTTTCTATATCCTTTCTCCTACGTGAGTTTTGTGATAAGTACTTATAATTTACACTAACATTTTATTATTATTTTTTTCTTATTTTGTGGGTTAACAGCCACAGTCAAAGACTGGTGTTGATAGCTTTGGTGGTCTTGGAGCAACTCTAATAGACTCACTTGATACCTTATATATTATGGGTCTCAAAGAGCAGTTCCAAAGAGCTAGAGAGTGAGTTTAGCATATGCCTCTTTTATATTTCAGATACTTGCTCTTCTATCCTGGTGTCTCTTTATGCTTCGGTTACATCATGCTTTATCTTCATAAGCAACATTTTTTGACATTTGTTGCTTGTTTAAAGGTTTATCTTTGAAAGGGTTTTCAACCAGGCTTTAATATCATAACTAAAGTAATGATTTAATTTCCTGTTATGTTTTCCAACTCCGCCGCACCTCTTCGAGACTTTTTGCCTTAATGAAATGACAGCTATTAACCTGTTTTTCTGTCCTTTTTTCATACAGGCTGTGATAAATTTTCCTCTGTATATGCCAGAGATGGTTCTCTATCATCCAATTTTTCTCCCCTACTATTTTTGAGCAAGTATATCCCACGTCATCCCATTTCTAGAAGGCATCACCAGTTCCTCTTCCAGAATTTAGCCCAAAATCACCCTAGATATCTAGGGTTACATCATGGAATTATGATCAACTTCCTATGAACAATTATGACCATTACACTTCCACAAATTTCCATTGTTCATCAGATTATGGTCGATACTTGATTCTTGGGATTGGGTTTGGCTTGATTCATCTATTTGCAGTAACTCAAACTTTCTATTGCCTTGCCTGTCTTTTAACGATCTTTTGCCCCTTTTTAACTCTACCACCAAAAATTGTGGTTTGATAGTATTTAGTCTTCCATTGTTTAGTCCTCCAATATGGTATTTCTTCAAGTGGAACATATATTGTTCTTAGCTAAGTTATTAGTATGGTTATATGAAAGTGGTGAGACTGTTTAAACAGGTTTAACATATTGATTCAATAGTCAAAGCTTAACGTGCTTGAAATGGTGGGAACAGTTATTGGTTTCATGGATGAAATGCGGAAAGTTACGCGCATAAAATTTTAGTCTTGGTGGTTAGCATGTTAAATGTATATATTCTCAGCTACTAACACATTGCTCTTTCATCTCTTCTCAGTGGTGCAATTTCAGGTTTGTTAGTCTAAGTCATTTTTCTCTGTTTGTATCTCTTTTATCATACATTTTATTTTCTAGAAACTTCCCTTCATCTGTGGCATTCTCTTCTATTGACCTCCTGATCAGTTGCTGTTCTTAGATTCAGTTAAGGGATATCTAGATGACATAGATTAAGATGCAAACCAGATTCAATGAATGCATATGTGACATATATATCAAACAAATCAATCTCTGGTTCCCAAGTGTGATGTTTGTTCTTTTATTTCTTGGTTTCTTCTTTGATAGTAATGAGCTATTTATGGCAGGTGGGTTGCAAACTCATTGGATTTCAACAAGAATTATGACGCTAGTGTTTTTGAGACAAACATAAGGTTGCTTTATAAGGTTTAATATGTTGGTTATTTATTTTTATTTTTCTATTTCCTTGCCTGAAGAGTTAAGTTGTGTCACTGCTCCATAATCAACATAAAACGAGTGGCATCTAAACTACCTGTCTAATCTATAATTTTCTTTTTCATCGTTGTCCAGAGTTGTGGGTGGACTTCTTAGTGCATATGATCTCTCCGGGGACAAAATTTTCCTTGAAAAAGCAAAGGACATTGCTGATAGATTGCTACCTGCATGGGATACACCTTCTGGCATTCCATATAACATTATTAACTTGGCTCACGGAAATCCACATAATCCTGGATGGACTGGGGTAAGTGCTGAATTTCATGGATGTGCTGTTCGACTTTTCTGCATGATTTCATCTTTCAAGAACTTTTAAGTAGAAACTCTTTGTTTCTTAAATTTTCTTCACCATTATATGTGGAGTGGTAACTTTCTATTTAATTTGCTAATCTAGCTTGGACTTGTGCCTAGTTTGGGATTTTGTGAGCAAACTATGATTTTTTACATGATTTGTTTGGTTGAAATATGTCCACAGATCAGGGGAAAATAATTTATTGAAGCTGTTACCATAAATAGATCTTAGCTCTAGTTGTTAGGTTTCCTGTGATAGAAATATGATGTATAATTGCTGTCTATTCCTCTCATCTCATGATGTATAATTGCTGTCTATTCCTCTCATCTCATGGCAACACTAATACTTTGCATGTAGTTATAAACCACCATTCCCATTATACATATGCTAAAGGATGACTTTTGTTGACTCTAATTCCCCCTTAAGAATCCTACTATTCACTTTCAGTTAGATGTTATACTCTAATCAATAGGGATGCCCATCTTGTTTTATTGTATTAATTTATAATTTGCTCTCTCCTTAGGGTGATTCAATCCTGGCAGATTCTGGCACAGAGCAACTGGAATTTATAGTTCTTTCTCAAAGAACTGGAGATCCAAAATATCAGGAGAAGGTACATCCCCTTAATACTAAAAGATGATGCCTAGGCAACTATAATATTGCATATGTTAATTCAAAAATTACATATTTGTGAAAGAATATGGGAATTGGAAGTTTTTATCATATGAAAATAGTTCGTCTGTGCCTTATAGAGCTTTCTTGCTGTATTTACTAAATAGATGTCAACCACGAGTAGATGTGTATGTCTGGGCATAGGTAACTATTTTTTCAGGTTCACTGAAAGAAATATATTGCTTTCAGGTGGAGAATGTAATTTTGCAGATCAATAAAACCTTTCCTGATGATGGTTTACTTCCTATCTATATCAATCCAAATAGAGGGACATCATCTTACTCAACCATAACATTTGGAGCCATGGGGGACAGGTACTGGCTCTCTGATCTTTCAAATATATGAATGGTGCTAACTCTGTGTATTCTCATTAATCTCAACAGTCTATCCTATGAAAAATTCATGCGTATTTTTAATCTGAACCTGAAAGTTTGACTTACATCTAGTCACTGCAACTCCTGCAGTTTTTATGAATATTTGCTCAAAGTTTGGATACAGGGAAATAAGACTGAAGCTGTAAAGCCTTACAGGTGAGATTCCTTTGCCAAAACTTTTTCTTTATATGCAGTTAAACTGCTTAGGAATGTTCTGCTGTGTCTAGTCAGGCATGTTAACTATAAAATGTAGGCAAATATTAACTGCCCTTCCTGTAGAAGTACAGAGATATGCATAATCCATTTGCCATGATGAACTGATTACACTTACCTAAGTAGACTTGTTTTCTTGAATTCTTGGAGGATATTGAAGCTAATGCCTCTATTGAGAATTTAGAAGTTCAGAGAAATAACAAATCATTTATTTCTATTGGGTTCCTGTGAAAAAAAAAAAATCCTGTATTTGCATTATGTTGGTAAAATGCTCTGTGGGGTTGAATATGATGATTTCTCTTGATTCATGCTTTTCATTCTCCAAGATTTAGATTAAATTAATTCATGTAAAAATAGTATCCTTATCATTTGGTTTTATGTAAAATTCTGTGTGAAATTTGTAAAACAGAGAAATGTGGGAGAAGTCTATGAAAGGTCTATTAAGCTTGGTTAGGAGAACGACACCATCATCTTTTGCATACGTTTGTGAGAAGATAGGGAGTTCACTTACTGATAAGGTAATATATTGGAACAAAGTAGCATTCAGATACAGCTGTTTATTAACAAACTAATTATGCTGTATCATACAAATATTTGCAGATGGATGAATTAGCTTGCTTTGCTCCAGGAATGATTGCCTTAGGGGCATCAGGTTATGGTCCCGATGAATCTCAGAAGTTTCTCTCACTTGCAGAAGAGGTATTGAAAAATCCTTGTTACTATTTAAGTATACCATGCTTATGACCGTTTTGCTTTGTTTTCTGAATCAAAACTAACTTTGTTCTTATCAAGAAGATTTTTTTGGGAGAGCATTTATATGCATTAATTTGATTGTATTTTTGTGAGGTGGTTATGAGTTGGCCTCTTGTAATAAGTACGGTTCCTCAGCTAGCAATTGACAATCATAGATGACATGAGCGTAGCTACACTCTGTAGGTAGCTACGGAAGTGCCATATAATTATATATGTAGGTAGAAGAGTGATGCTCGAATGGGTAAGACTAGACATGAGCTGACCTTGCTGTCTCAATTCCAAATCTTGACCTTTTCAGTGGTGTTTTGGAAGATTTTATGAGCTTCTTGGAAGGATATATGAATCAGTGACTAGAAGGTTGTATGAGGCTTTAAAAGGATCATGAGCTGTAGGATGAGAAATAGCTTAGTTATTAGAAGGTTTAGTTTCTGCAATGGATGATTACAATCTTTCCAGTATGCAGTTAGGATAAAGACTTGAGCAAGCTTCTAAAGCAAATTTATCCTATCTCAGGGATACAGATATATAGTTGGTACAGGGAAAAGGTATTTGTCTGGACAATAGTTGGAGTATGGATGGAATAATTGATACTGGCCCTTTTTCATTCTTTACCCAGGTGCTGGTGATATTCATTAAGGTGAAACGTTGAGCCATGCTTGTTTTTATTGCATATAGGACACTGGCAGAGGTTCAAACCAACTTTGAAGGGTTTGCCTGGGTCTAGGAGCATCTTGATATTGGTGACCAGTGGCCCAATTTTGCTTCCTTTTTTTTAAATTTTTATTTTTTAAGGGCAGCTGGTGGGGGAAGGCGGACTTCAACTAGGAGGTAGAGGGATGTCTTGCTATAGTAGTAGAGGAGTTCAGATACTTCAGCTGAACCTCATGTAGATTACCAACTGGGATCACCAAATCAGGTTCCTGAATTATGAGAGCTTTATTTGTTCATTTATAACCCCTAAAAAGAAATTCCTGCTGCATCTCCATGAAGCTTCCTGAAGGCATGAGCATATCTACCAAAAGTCTGGCCTCTATGATCCTTTTAACAATCTCAAAAGTGGGACAGAATTTTTCTTTTGGATGACTAAGATAAAGGTTTCTCCAACCTTGCTGAAGAGTCTCCCTACTGTCAGATCTGTGGTTTATGATAATAGTAATACTTGCCTTCTCAAGTATATGTTTTGGGTTAATATCCCAATAGGATATGTTGAAGTTTATTCTATACCAAACAATGAATAACTAATACAGTCAGTTGACAATTCTAGTCCATTTAACATTGGTTCCAGCACATCGACTTATTTTTGTGCTTGTCTTCTAATGCTCAAAATTCATGATTTTCCTAATGATGTACTTTATCTGATTGATGGGTTACATGAAAGCTTTATGATTTTCGTAAGGAACTGCAGACCAGTGCATGGCTGATCCATTTTCAGTGGGGAAAACATGTATTCTTACTATTATTGCTTCAATTATCTGCCCCAGTTATCATTAGTTAGTTAATTTATGCTTTTAACCTTTTAATAAATTCCTTGCTTCTTTATGCAGCTTGCTTGGACATGTTATAATTTCTATCAGTCAACACCAACAAAATTGGCTGGAGAGAACTATTTTTTTAATTCAGGGCAGGTTTGTTGTGATTATTCTAGTGATATTTGCTGAATAACTTCATTGTGTGATGGTTCTTTTGCATAACATTTTTGCAGGAGATGAGTGTGGGTACATCATGGAATATATTGAGGCCAGAGACTGTCGAGTCACTCTTTTACCTCTGGAGATTGACTGGGAATAAAACTTATCAAGAATGGGGCTGGAACATATTTGAAGCATTTGAAAAGAATTCTCGTATAGAGTCAGGATATGTTGGATTGAAGGATGTAAGCACTTCACTAACCCAGATATTGGATAATGCTTGAATTCACATCCCAAGTGTTCGCTACGTTATACCTTCTGTGTGACACAAGGGTGTCATTTGCAGTGTCTTCTATGGATACACTTAACCAAGAAATGTCTTTTTTGTAACCAGTAATTTTGTATCAGGTCTTCTGACTTTCTGTATGTTATCATTTGTCTTCTGAATTGTAGATGTTGGTATTGGTGGACAAGGAAACACTGCATTGCCATTAGAGGTCTTGTTCACTGTCCATATTAGTCATTCAAGTGACATGAGGTCATTATCAACTTTTTCTCTGCTAGTGTGAGGTTTGGTAGTGGCCTTAGAATGTGAAACTAATTGGCAATACAGGTATGATATGGAGAGTGGAATATGCAGAAATAACAATTTTCAGAAAGAAATATGTAGGACACCGCACAGTTAGCATGGTAGGGACACAATTATACTAAATGTGTTTTTTATGATGTAAAATTCAAAAATATGTCAAAGTAGCTTTCTTTCTCATACATAGTAAAGCTATCTATCCTGATCACGTTTCCCATGCCTTAAAAGAAAACCTATGAATTTTTTACTGCTGTATTGCTACTTTTGCTGCTTTTTTTAGCTGCTGTATGTTGTGTTCCCAGGTCAATACAGGCGTCAAAGACAATATGATGCAGAGCTTCTTTCTTGCTGAGACACTCAAATATTTCTATCTTCTATATGCACCATCTTCAGTAATCCCACTGGATGAGTGGGTTTTCAACACAGAAGCTCACCCGCTAAGAATTGTGAGCAGACAAGATCAGGAAGGGAATTTGGGAAGATCAGATGAACACAGGAAACCAATTGTTAGGTCACGTGCTAGAAAACAAGGTCGATTTGGTGATGATTAGGATTGCTTGGTGGGGATTCAGTCCCCTTGCGGAATGTTAGGCTTTGATTTCATGAAGAGCTGAAAGTTCTTACGCTTATTATATCATAGTGTACCGAAAAAAGGGTCTGATGTTATAGCGATTGAAACTAGATGCTGCATAGTTGGCGGTTGTACTGGAGAAATAATGCAGCTCGACTGAATCTAGTTGCAGGAAATGGGCAGTCATGGTGGTTGTGTTCTACAGTTGCTGCCCCACATTTTGAAATTGATGGCCTTGTAACATTAGGGGTAGGCATTTACTCTACTGTTGTATTTTTTTATTTAAGCGTTTTCAGATGCCATAATTGAAGCACATTCCGAGAGTAGTTTCTATATAGGAAATCTCTTGCAGGATATGGTATTTCGTATGCCTCTCCTTTTGGATAATTTGGCATTATGTAGATTGTGCTGTTTAAGTCATACAGGTGTCATCTTAGATTCTGAATCATATGCCTAGTTACTTTTTTATTAGAAAATTATAATTTCGAAACAAATAAACAAACAAAAAGAAGGCACGGTACCACGGCTTTTGTGGGTATGGTTTCTTCCAAGTGCCCTATCCATTCCTTTGGCTGTAGGTGGATCCTCCTAATTTCTTAGTGTGGTAAGATGGACATGTTTGTCCAACTGCTTGACCATTTTCATGCCAGTTATTGTTTTATTGGCAATAATTTTGTTGATTGGAAGTACGTGGCATTCTTATTTGCTATTTTTGTTTGCGGATTTGCACTCCGGAGCCTGGTGGGCCCCCTTGAGTGTTCACACCTAGTTCCTTTGTTATTAGATTTACATATAAAAATACAACAGCACAAAATAAGTAAACTCAATGAAGCGATAATGTTAACGAGAGATAATTTGAATAATAAGAATGATAAAGGGCCAGTATTGCTATTTAACCCCACAGAGTAATTTTTAGAATATATAAGAATTATCTTCAAATGGATACCAGTTTAACATTACCCTCTATCATTAAAAAACTTACATGAGCCTCCGGCGCAAGGCCGCCAATCCAAGCACAAAACTGAAACTCCTATCAGCCACCAGGCTCCATGTGTTACATGACTATAAAAGGCATAGAATCAAATAACATCGTATAATCTAGTCAACAAAACTCAGAAAGGCGATGAAGTCCTCTCCGACTTCCGAATAAAACTGTTGAAACACCATGTCCATGCTTGTGACCCAGAAGTAAATACGTTTCCAACTTTAACAATAGGGAAAACAGAATTTCTACCAACTGGAATTTGAAGCACAAACCTCCAAACTTCAAAGAGGTAAATAAAACCAAAATCTAGTTCATCCTCCGGATAAGCTCATTGATATAATCTTCACGGTTTCCAGCATCTCCACCCTCAACATAATGGTTCCTCTTCTTTTGTAGACCACCCAATGGTGCCTTAAGTTTAAATGGCCACAAGAAGTTATTAGCCTCCTTAAAATGAGGTCCAACTGTCATGATCTCGTGGATTAGATCTTCAATGCAAATAATTCCATATTTTCCAAAGCCTGCCATAACAGGAACATGTCAAGTTAAACGTAAGATATACCAACCCGGCACTGCCACTAACCAAATTCCAATAAACAAACCTGCTCAATGATTGAGTTGTCTGTCAAAGCAGTTCGCTGTTTACTTAGCTTTCCATAACCTCTCTTGTAAATCAGTTCCCTCACACTCTTCAGATTTGGATATCTGAATGCACAAGTAGTTAAAACATTTGAGGAGAGTTATAAAACTTAGAACTTCAAATAATTACAGTAGAATGAAGATACATACCCATATGTAACATAAGGCTCAACCTACGCAGCATATTCATCGTTGCTTTGTTTACTTTTAGGAATACGCCATTGAAAATCTGTGTTGCATGCAATAATACAATTGAGTCCAACTTCAGGGGAAAAAAAAATGAATTGCATGGAATGTAAATTTAGTCCATATAAACGTCAATTTTCACAAATAAGAGGATATTAAGTTTTTCCATTCTATATCACACAACTTCAGCTTTTCACCCAAATTATAGGATAATAGGGGGTGTTTGGTTTCCTGGGCTCTTTTGGAAGTTGACACTTTTGTTAAGCAGTGTGATCTTTTGCACTTTTGGTTTACTTTAAAAATGCACGGCTCCACTCTAACTAAATTAAGCTATTCTGATTTCACTATACATATGTACTACTTATCCATGTAACCAAATACAAACATTTTATATATAATTTTAAAATTTAAAAGAGAAGGAAAAAAAAACAATGAGCCCATTTTAGGCAATAGAGCCCAGCCTTCTAGGGCCCTTTTAACCATGGACCAAACACCTCATAGGAAGAGCCTGGCCCTTTGGCTGAGCTCTGCCTATGGAAACAAACAACGTCCTAATACTCTATATCACTAGTTACAAATCATCCTTAACCATGACTGCAAAAGATCTTTACTAAATCACCTATGGGCTCACTAGAATATAGTTGAGAATTTCATGCAAACATGATAGTCCATGTCAAACTAGGTAGCTACCTGATTGCCCATAAGTGGACAGACATTAAGCAGCAATGACATGAAGTGCCACCAGAAAATTCAAAAAATGGAAGCATACAAAGTGGAAATGGTTATAAAATTTCAGGTGATGAACATTTTTTTTCCAATAAAAAGGAAACTAGTGTCAACTCATTCTCACCGCCATATGCATATCTATGCCACCAGAGATTCAATTTTCTTTCTTTTGGGGTGGATGCCTAGAACCAATCAATAAGGGAAATCACAGTGTAACAATGAAAAGTAGAAATGGTTTGAATGAGGGACTCGTCAATTTACCTGTCTCAACCGCAACAGCTGCAATATCTTTCTAGTTTTTGGATCAACAGCATTGATACTGAAAGTTCAAAATGAGAAAACGATGAGATGGAAGCAACAATCACATAGACTAGCTATCTAGAAAAGCTGATAGTCTATGAATGCATACCCTCTTATGCGAATAATGAACAAAAGCTTAGCTTCAGGGTTGACGTAAAAACCACCTTTCAGCCTTGCCTCACGCTTCAATTGAATTAGCTCCTTTTGCTGTACAGGAAACGAAAATTTGCATTCAAATATCAGAAACTATATTCAAAAAAGCTATATATCTAATGCATAAAGTATTGGACCAAAAATGTGTTGACCTGCCCCTCATACTCCTTGGCATATTGCTTGGCTTTATGGTAAATCACTTTCCTGTTCTGAGCATTTTTCGTTTTCAATGCTGCTAACTCTTCCTTCTTCTTCAAATCCCATTCCTCATTCCTCTTCTGTTTCTTCAATAAAGACTCTGGAACCATATTACCTCCCTTGGCTTGCGCTTCAGCCATCTGTCTACAAATAATACAACCAAACATGTAATCGAAATGCCATCAACAGTGAACTATTTTTTCTGCAACAAATCACTGCGCAGTGCATTCAACATATATATACATTCCATCAATATCAGACCCGGGCATGCAGCAGAGGAAAATTTTCGGCTTATTTTAGTAGAATGTCAGCAAAATAATGCAGCAAGATTGTACTTCCACGGGTGATAAAGAAAAAATATAAGCATCGGAACCCAAAATTTCTTAAGATTATACTAGAGCAATCACAGGCTCAAAATGATACTAAAACCAATCATGTCCGACCAGACTCACTCTTTCTAAAGAAGGCTGGCCTAGCTTGGCGTCAAGGATGTCTTCCTTCAGCTTTCGGTTGGTTTTCCTTAATACTAGGGTTTTGAAGGGTTCGGTTTTGCGGGCTTGAATCATTCAACGGATTAGATTTACGCGCAGTGACTAAATTGATCGAGGCCGTTAACATACTTGGGCTGCTTGAATTCTGGAAGGAAAGCCCACCTTGTTGGATGGCCCAAATGACAGAAAATTGCATTAAATGACCAGTTAGGAGAGGTTCGAGATTAATTTCTTTTTGGGTTTCACGTTGTTAAATCATTGCTGGGTAATTGCATATTTTATTTATGAAATGTTTATCAGCGAAAACAATGAACGATCGCCCAGAACGGGAGTATTGACCAGAGATGTAAATAGTCGGTTTTACTTCCGATATTGAAGTATTCAAATATTTGTATTCATATTTTAATAAAAAATTAATATTTATATTTATACTTATATTTAAATAAGTAAAGAATTATTTATCTATATTTATTTCTATTTAAATATTATTTATTCATATTCATTTTATATTATTTAAATACTATTTACCTATATCTAAATCTATATCCATTTTAACACCAGTTACTCATATTCATATCTATTTAATAAATAATTTAGTATGTAATATAATCATAGAAATTAGAAAGATTCCAAAAAAAATACAATTTTTTTTTAAATTTTAAAAATTAATAAAAGATAATTTTTTAACAAAAATAGATAATTTTAATTTATTAATTACAATGAGAAAGAGAAGAAAAGTTAATGTTGTTTAGAAAAAAAAAAAACTTTAAAAGTATATTTAATAATTTAAAAATTATCAAATACTTACTTTTAAAATATTAAGAAGTATTGTTAAAAAATATTATCTATTTTATTAGATATAAAACTATAATCTTTATTTTTAACAACTCAACATTTGATAAAATTTGATGAGATTTAAATTTCAAATTTCTATTTTTAACGTTAAGCATGATTTAGATTTCATAAAATTTGATAGGATTTTACTTAACTTATTAAAATCTCATACGATCCTATCAAAACTAATAGGATTTGATATAAATGGATTTCAAAAAATTATTTTCAAAATTTTAAATTATTAAAATTTTTTACTAAAACGAAAGGAAATGAAAACAAAACAAATAACAGAATTACAGATAACTCTATTTCCTATTTGTTCAAAAATTTCTCAATATATATACATTATGTGTGTGTGTGTGATCTACTTTTTTTAATTGATTTGAATTTATAATTTTTTTTGTTTATTAGATTTTATTTTCATTTACATTAGTCATCCTCCAATTTACTCTCAAATTTTATATTTTTTATTTAATCTATTTTTTTTAATTGTAATTACTATTCTACACCAATGATCATAAATACGAGAGATTGAATTGTAGAAATTGGCCATATAAACATTTATCTATCAAAGGATAATAGGTGTAAATTGTTTTCATATTTTTCTATTCACAATTATCTTTGAAATAAAGAATTTCAATTTGCATAGCACAATTTAATTATATATATTAAGTAAAGAATATTAAATATAAGATTTTCAAATTAAATAGAGTAATAAGATAATTCATATTTTCAATTATCATCTTTTAGGAAATTATTTTCTGCTTCTATTTTATAGTTACTTAAGAGAACAATAAATCGTTATTACAAATTTCTATCATTTTAGTCATTGTGTACTTTGTTCTATATCAATAAAAAGAACTTTAAACATTTTTTAAATTGATCTGAATTAATTTAATATAATTTTAATAATATATTTTATTATAATTAAAATTATAGTTTTATTAATAATGGTATTTTTTGTTTTGTTTAATATTTATTTTAGATGTCAAAATTGAATAATAATTTGATCACTATAGTGTTAGTGTGTGGTAAACACATATACATTATGTTTTGTACAACTTTAAAACCATTTTATTATTTGTCAAATATTTAATAAAATAATTATTAAATTTGAATTGTATAATTATCAAAGTTTAGTTTTACCATTGTAATTTAAATTTATTACATGTTCCTTTTCAATTTAATGATTACATGTTTTTATATAAATAGTTAAATTCTTTATTCTTTTTGTAAAATATGCTTTTATAATATTTCAAAAATCTTGAATTTCCAATTTTATATATCTTATAATTTATAATACTCATATAAGAAAAATATTTTAGGATATTATACATAAATATGTGTATATATGAATGAAATTCGAGTATGTAATACGGGTAATTGGATATAGATATACAGTTATATAAATACGGATATATAGGTATGGATATTCAGGTATTATTACATAAAAACCATATCTAAACTCAAACCTGAAAAAATATAACATTTAATTGAACCCGACCCAGAAACTGAATTGTAATGACCGAATTCGAATCTCAGTCAGGTCAATAGTTCAGGTACCTGTAAAATCCAAATACATTTACCTCCCTAGCATTAACGAGTGGATTAAACAGATTTTTGATAGTGCAGTAAAGATTGAAGTAAAAATTCTATTTGTGTGTGAGCTACTGTGAACCATTTGGTTCAGTTGATCAGCATCATTGCGGCAGCACAGGTAGAGAGCCTTCACCCAGAAATCAGCCCAGTCAACCATCGCTAGTTGCCGATCATTGGCGAATCTCGTGGAATCAAGGTTGCTTGATTCAGTGGTAGTGAAGGACTGGGTTCAGGAGTACTTTATAATTAAATTAAAATTTTAAAGACAAATTGTAAAAAATAACCTTAAAAATATCTTTATATAAAAATTCATCAAAAACTATAAGCACCCTTTCTTCTAACTTTAAACTTTTTCACTATTTATATCTTAGTTAAAATAAAATTAAAATTAAAAGTAATGTTACAAACATTAAAATTATTTTTTTATGATTAAAAGCTCAAAAATCGCTTCCCTGAACTGTTGCAAGCACTTCCTAAATTTAGTAATGCTCAAACTCAGACTTTAGTCTGGCCTGGTTTGTTACAATCACAGGATAACATAAAAAAGTTCAACTTTTTATAATTTAGTTTGTTAATTTTTTTTAAATCATATTGTGTTAAATATTTTTGTTCTTTTTTTTATGAAAATAATCGCCTTTTACCTTGGAAAGAAGTTAAACTAATACATAAGAAATTAGAGTTCTTACAAATCCATGCACAGGTTTCCTAAAAAAAAAAAAAGTTGGGTTCTAATTTTAAATATTTAATTTTATAAAGAAATAAATTCTGAAACAGTAAAAAAATATCTCCCAAGAAATTCTTTGATCATAAACTTTCTCGTTTTTGCTAAACGAGGGAAGCCGCCGTGTGAATGGTTGATATGGGTGCTGCTTTAGTGGGCGTGGCACCCATATCAACCAAATTAGTGAAGTTTGACGGCTGGCATTATACCCATATGATCCATTTGATGTATGGAGTTTTCACTCAATTGTGAAAATCCTTTACAGACCTAATAGTTGATGTGATTATTGTCCTGCTGGGTGTAGCAACTAACAACATCCCAACCTGTAATTTTCATTCAAATTCTGGATTCACAACATCAAAACCAGCAATACGAACTTCCTTAACGGTAAACAGTTTCCATAATGAACTGGAAAATCATTCAGTGACATGCTTTTTGTTCGAGCTACAGAAAAAGCAAATGGAAGTTCCGATGCCGTCATTTTACCTCCCCAAAACAAACCCCACACCTTGACGAAAAAAATATAAATGAAAAGAAAAAGAAAAAAAAAATCACACGCAGCACTAGCAAAAACAAGAATAGGCCAAGTGATTTTCTTTGAGATATAAGGGGATATAAAATCTGTGGCAGAAGCAGAATTAGGAACATTTGCAGGAACAAGGATCTGAGTCCTGCCAGATGCAATTCTCTTACCAGCCACATTGGCGTAAAACAGCCCTGAGATGGCCGGTACGAAAATGTCACTCTGAGAGCATATATGGAAGTCAAGGACCTTTTCCAATTCTGAAGTTTCCGAGCTTAGGTACTACTCCTTTTTGTCCATTGGAATAATGCCATCTGTTCAAGTCAAATAGTTACTCAGAATGCAATCAACTCAACTTTATAGAGTATCTAAACTAAACGTGTCAGATTACAAATGCAAGTCAGGAACTAGTTTCTGGATGGGCAGCTCCTATGGATGTATAACATTCCTTGCATGTTATTCTGTTCTGGGTCGTATTAGTCTGTGATCTATTACCCTCGTCAAAGGCTTTATTACAGTATAATCAATCATCAAAAGCCACTGTAAACAAAACAACTTCTTCACAAATCTTGAATTTACTACCGTATAATGAGCCTTCCGGGATTTTATTGAGGTATTTGTATTTCCACAATGTTAAAAGAGGAGAAAAAGGAAAAAGAATCAAGGTGATATCTGTAGAAGAAGACTACTTAGACAATTCCATCTCAAGGTGATTTCTGCTCTGCAAGAGGCAAAAATCGAGCACCTTTTTCCCCTTCTGTAAGACAAAAAATCTTTTGAAAGGCATGAAAAAACACCATGAAAACTATGAATCATAAAGAAGTCCAGCATAAAGAATTCTTCGTGAATTCGCCATGATCACTCATAAAGGAAAAGCCGCATTGGAGACCAGAAAACCTAACTATGCAATCAAAAAAGAGAGAAATGCACACAAAAGTAAATTTACTCAGGACAGGAAGGAAGAAACCCATTACCTTTGTGTAAGTTTTTGGAAAGAAATCTTTCAGGGTATCAAGGCTGCTATCCCACCTAGATTGGGTCACATATATTGTGGTATCCTTGTCAAAACCAATCTTTCTCAGGAACAGTGCAACCTCTTCTGGACTGTAACAGCTTTTAGTTTCAGAATCACCACTTCCTTGGCAATCCTCTTTCTCCAATACCTCTACCCTCATATCAACTGCTACAAACTGACCACCTGATTTCCGGCTTAAAGTTCTTAGCCGTTCAATTACTGAGTCAACCACTTCATGGACCTCTGCTTGTAGCTCCAGAGTTCCAAACATTGCCAAGCATGAAACTGAATCAATGTTAGTTGTTCTGTCAGTCTTCCTCATATTCACTGAAGGAAAGTAACTTGCCAGCCTAACATTCCCTTTTGATCTAAAAAGTGGTTCAACATTCTCGGCAATGTGCTTTTCAGTAACTTGATTAGGGATCCTAACTACTGCTAAGTTCCTGGCTAGTATATCAGCTGGTTGGTTTTCAGCAACTTTGACCACCCCATCCAGGCTTTCCACAAACTTGTCACATCATAAATATCTCCAAACTTCCTGATGATTGCAGCAAATCAGTAACCAAGAAATTTGGCCCAGGAATTAAAACAATTCCATCATATCACATAAAATAATGTTTGTCAACTTGATTGTCTGCACGTAAATAAGGTAAAATGTGTTATCAGATGTCCTGGATGAAGAATTTCTGGAGAAGATATGCTAGATATCACTGGCTTTTCCCACCAGGGGGGGATCTTAAAATAACATGTCATCCAGCATATAGGTATTGCCTCCTAGAAAATAATGGCCCCTACACCTGTGATTAATATTCTAACTTACAAGTGATAATAATCCTTCCTTGACCACGTCACCGCCTCCAGAACCCCTAATCCAGTGGCAATTCTTCCCCTCTTTCCAGGATCAGAAAATTTCATGCAGTGTTTATAAATGGTTTCAGGAACACTAACCTCTTATCACCTGGTGTGTTTCCCCTTATGTCTGGCAATAAAAGAGTTGCTCCTAGATATCTTGCTACTACAACTGCATCAGCAATCTGGAGATATAATTTATTTGAGTAGTTTTAAAGAACTGGTATAAAAGATAAACATATCACTGTTATCCAAGAAGTCCAAAATGAAAGTAATCCATGAATGCTCCAGGGCAGCATGTAACATATAGCACAATGAGGAAATGGATTTGGATAGAGAACATAATGTGAGAGAAAGAAAAATGAAAAACACGCACATGCACATAGATACACACACATTTTCTCCAAATCCATAATTGGAGGAGAAAAGGTCAATAAGCTCAATTTTGTTCAATTGTTTAAATGGAGTACTCATTGACAGGAATTTAAGGACAACCTGTAGAACTTCAAAGTCATTTTGGAATTTTTAGGGGTATTTAACCAGGATGAGCAAGAAAGCTAGATTAGCAGCAACTTGGAATTATAAATAACTAGTCATTTTCACTACAGCTAGGCCAATTATGTGTTGCCGCAATAGCTTTTAGATAATAGTTTTTGATATATTTTTTTGTATCTACCTTGCTTTCTTCCTTTTTCCTTATTTCAGTAACTCCCAAAACAAAATGTCCTTAAGCTTACATTTTTAATTTGATTACTATGAATTCTGCCATTTATACCATTCCTACCTGTACTTTATTTTTTCTATTAGCCTTTGTTATATATATATATATATATATATATTATATATAGGATTGAGAAGTATAAAGATAAAGTGACAGGCAATGGATTATAGAGTACCTGTGAGACATGATATTCAGGGCCGTTTGTCAATGAAAAGGTGACAAAACCATCTGATTGCCTTGTATCTTCTATCATTCATAAACGAACAAGAAAAGTATGATTAGCAAAATCTAACTTGGAAAACCACGTAACACTGAGCCAACTCACCAGCAGCCGGTTTTGTCCAACAAGGCTTTGGATCTACTCTATCCTTTTTCCAGGGCCCAATACTCTCTCTAGCAAGGGTAACGACGTTGTGCTCTGCAGTCTTCCCTCATAATTACCTATTGGTACTCCCCAATGATTTGCCTTCAAGAGGGGGAAATCAAAATTAATTATTAGGAAAATATAAACAGAAGGCAACCAACTACAATCAAGTAGCTTGACAATAGAAGAAACTCGCTAAAACAAGTATTTCTTTGCAGCTAAAATTGAAAGGGACCCAATACCTAAAATAATGGAAATGAGTTTCTATCTGCACACAGATAGTGGAGGGATTAATCGTGGCAGGTTTGAGAAAATTGAGAATTGAAAATGGCGGCATACAAGACAGAGAAATCCAAATTAAGTAGTGTTGAAGCAGAAGAGCAAATTGATTGAAAGCACCACATCCAAAATTAGCAGTAAACAAGATAAGAAGAGGGAAGCAAGAAGTAGGAAATACAGATGGGGAAGAGCGGGGAGCGTTGGGACTTAACTGGAGGCGAATCAAAATGGTCTCTCTTGATCATATTGGCGAGCATTACAAACATGGTCACTGTCAAACACCAGCAAGCACCTGCCTTGGATCCACCGCCATTTCTTTCCTTAAATCAACTTCCCTTCCCTAGATTTTTTTCTGTTTCCCTCCCTCTCTCCCTCTCTCTCTCTCTGTCTCCCTATAGGCAACAAATATTTATAAAACGTGTATGTCGCACACTTGACACTAACGCAAACTCAGTCTCCAATAATGAAGAAAGATAACGACCAGTGACCACCGACGCTCCACTCCACCACTCCCTTCACTCCACTCGGCTTCGAAAACGATTTATCCGCTACTTATTTTTTACGGTCAAAAGTGCCACGGCAAGTGACAAGGCACCGTGACACGTTATTGACGGTATTTTCTTAATTCTCTCAATTATTTTAAGTTGTCAGTATGTTTTTTTTTATTTTTAAAAATAAATGAATATATAACACCATCAGACTACAGTTACCGTTATATTCTTTCGGGCTGGACTGGAAGAGTTAATGATCAAATGGTATTTGAATTTCACGTGCGGCTGACAGCCTCGAACGGGGGCCCAACTTCACTAGCAAGCAAGGCGAGTCTCGGCTCAAACTCCATGGCCATGGGGCTTCCTCAGCTAACTAAACGGCAACGGCATGTGCCCCTTCAGAATATTATTGCATCCTTCCCTTCTTATTTTTATTTTTTTACATAGTAGCATGGGATGATGTGTTTATTATTTAGATATATTTCCCAAATTGGCGAAGAAAACATCTACTGAGATAACCATGTAAATTAAGAAACCCATCCACCCTTTTTCATTTTGAGTTACTCGAATCTTTTCAATTTTGTTTATTTAATTTAAAGCATTTTTTAATTATCATAAGAATTGACGTTAACCAACACAGATATTTGATGATCAACCTGTACAAAGACAAATTTGCTTCCTAGTCAAGTTCCAACTTTTTGTTTTCAATAAGAGTAAGGGTGAAAGTCGAAAAAAAAGAAAAAAAAATTACAAATTAATTCTGAAAAGTACAAACTCCGTCACATCAAAACAAGATATATTTTCAATTGGTTAGAGGGAGGAGTCCAATCCCTACCACCAAACTCCTATAAAAAGACTTAGTTTGGCTAATTAGTCATCACATTTATTGGCCTTCCTAGGATTTCACTTGATCTTAATTTGCAAGCCCTGTTGAAGAAGGGTTTTGATTCTAACTACAATCAAATCACAAAATAAAGTCACGTGACTATCTGTTCACGCTCAAATCAATAAAAAACTCTAAAAGTCCATTCTCAAATTGATCTTCCTAATGTTCAAATCTCAAGTCATATTTTAATTTTTACAAACTCTTCAAACTTCTACTAAAATAGAGTCTACTTCAACTAATAATTTACAAAATCTCTTGATTCAAAACCCCTCATAATCCAGAGGAGTTCACTCCAACTCATTATACTATTCTTTCAGCTTGTTGCCCTATCAATATTGATTTTGACCCACGCTATTCTTTGTAGGTTCCAAAAGGCTTGGTTCCTGACACCTGACATAGGATGCCTCCCTTGTTTAGACCTAGAGAACTTACATGCAAAAACCCACCTATTAGTTGTTTCATAAGGTTTGTTGATCTTCGAGAATCCTCTACAAATATACTATTGTTCCTTAACTTCCAAATGATCCAAATAGTAATTACCTACACTTCCAAATGATCCAAATAGTAATTACCTACACTTCTGGCCAGTAAGTGGTTCAAATAATTCCCTAACCTTTTAGGAAGTTTAGTGCTACACCATTTCGATGTCCTGATGAGAAAAATAAAAGTTTAAAAGGATGGGAAACTAAACACACCATATTCTTAAAACAATGGGCAATCCCTTAAAAACATACAAAATTGTATTTGCCCAGTCTCCACACTCTTGACAACTCTGACAAGTTTCAACTTTGGAAAAGGGCAAAATGCGTGTTCCTAATCTACCAAACGATCCAGCTTCGCAGTACTTCCAAAATCCTACGCGCTTTAATTTTATTTAATTTTTATCTATTGCCAGAAAGGACCCCAATGTAAGCCCAAATCACTGTAGGCCCAACAAAGGAACCGTTGGCCCAATTAATCCGCCCCATCTAAATCACTGGGACTTCGTGGTGCCCTTACCCATTTTTAATTAAAGCCCAGATAGGCCCGCGCGGTTTTGTCCTGAAGATTTTTAAAAACGGGACTCGAATACTTTGTCTATGCTCTGAACGCTAGAAGAGAGAGTCCTCCGTCGTCTTCGCAAGCTTCGTTGATGAATAGGTAGCAGGGAGTGCCTTTGATCCGAATTATAGCTATTGTACAAATCTAAAGGTTCGTTACCCTCTTTTTTTTTTATTACTTTAACATTCTCAGATCCATGGTTTCGGTTTGATCCGAGCTATAACTGTTGTATTCGTCAGTCTCTCTTTATATTACTTGACATTCTCAGATCCATGGTTTCCTTCCCAATTGTTCAACCATCCTCTTTTTAGTTTCGGTCGTAAATTTCCAGATCTGATTTTAGTGTCTGCAATTGTCTGGCCCATTATATTTTTTTTTCCTCATTTATTTTTCCAGATCTATATAGAGACAGTGGGGGAGGTAGACAGACGGAGAGTAGAAGATGGAGAAATCATGCACACTGCTTGTTCACTTTGACAAAGGGACACCGGCACTCGCCAATGAGATCAAGGAAGCTTTAGAAGGGAATGATATTCCCGCTAAGATCGACGCCATGAAGAAAGCAATTATGCTTCTGCTGAATGGTGAAACGATCCCCCAGTTGTTTATTACCATTGTCCGTTACGTGTTACCCTCGGATGACCATACAATCCAAAAACTATTGCTGTTGTATATTGAGATCATTGAGAAAACCGATTCTCAAGGACGGGTGCTCCAGGAAATGATTTTGATCTGCCAAAACTTACTCAACAACTTGAATCACCCAAATGAGTACATCCGGGGCGTCACTCTCCGGTTTCTCTGTCGTTTAAAGAAAACGAGATTATTGAGCCGCTGATCCCTACGGTTTTATCCAATTTGGAGCATCGCCACCCATTTGTCCGAAGGAATGCGATCCTTGCTGTGATGTCAATATACAAGCTTCCACAAGGGGAGCAGTTACTTGATAATGCCCCTGACTTGATTGAGAAAATGCTTTCGACTGAACAAGATCCATCGGCCAAGCGGAACGCGTTCCTGATGCTGTTCAATTCTGCTCAAGATAGAGCAGTTAACTATCTTTTCACTCATGTTGATAGGATAAATGATTGGGGTGAGCAGCTTCAGATGGTGGTGTTGGAGTTGATTCGCAAAGTTTGTAGGGCAAATCGGGGAGAGAAAGGGAAGTATATAAAAATCATCATATCGTTGCTTAATGCCCCATCCGCAGCAGTAGTATACGAATGTGCCGGCACACTTGTTTCCCTCTCTTCGGCTCCTACTGCAATCCGAGCTGCCGCGAAC